ACGTTCTTCTTTTTAATATTAAAACAATGGTAATCCTTTAAAAGCAAGGTTAAGTATTGTTTTCCATCGACTGAGCACTTAATGGATAGATAAAAGGGGAATTCTAACGGTGTCCAAAATATACCAGACTAATATGTTTTTAATCTGCTATAAGGATGGCCATCCCTAAAAAGATATTTGAATCGATTACGATAAAATATCGAAATCACAATTGACTTTTTTCATAGAGAAGATGATCATGATAAAAACTTCAAGAAAACTGAAAGAATCCCAAAAATCAATAATTGTTTTGTAATTTACTCTTTCATTACTAAAACTAAATGCAATCAGTGCCTTGTAAAATCGATATTAAATTGTTATTTCTTACTTTGATTCGATCACAAATTGGCATCCCTACTTGTCATTATGTAGGAACTTACTCATAATATCATCTACATTCCTTGTTATATTTCCAAAGTGTTTAAAATATCTCATTGTTTTAACGATATATAACATTAACTGAACAAGCTTTTATTTTTGGACGAACTTCATTTATCAACTTCTTACATAACAGGACCAAAACAAAATTAGATCCTCCAATTTCAGCTAAAGAATCCTTAAAAATATAAACTTTGCCCTAACAAACAAATCAAAATCTAATTGTGGTTTTATATTAACTCCTAACTATTTTTAGAATAAAATTACGTGATCAAAGGAGAAAGTTTAAAAAAANTGAAACAATAACGCGCCGTGTCAAAATTAAAATGGCCGCTATAAAAAATGACAGCTGACAGATGACGTCATTGGCACGCAAAAGGAAGGTGGATTTGAGCAAGTCCTTTTGACTCCCACAAGTACGTAAGGCGGTACGCAGACTAAGATGTTTTAATTAATAAAGACAAGACATTTAACTAATTGATAGGTCATTATAGGATTGGTCTCGAACTGTGTGACTTGTCCCGTTGAATAAAATTATAAATTATTTTTCAACTTATTAACACTTACCCTCTTTGTTAGTTCTGAAAAACTGTCATTTAATAGAAATAATATTATGTATTATGGCTTTTTAGGTGTGATAGTGATTGTGATATCTGATGATATTGATTTAATGATTGTGTTCGATAAATAATAAGTCAGTGTTTGCGTTTCTGTTTGCGTAGGGCCTTATTTTCTTAACTCATTAATTAGTCTGTTAAACCTCATATCCTTTGTCTTTTAATTGATTCGTTATTGTTATTGAAGTCTTTTACTTCCTAGCTAGACGTATCTTTTGTGCCTTGTAACGCCTAGTATACCATCACTTCAATTGAATTTGTATCTTAAATTGAAGATGTAAAGTTTAAAATTGATCATAAATGTTGAAATGGTTTCGTTAGATCATCGACAATAATGTTTTTTAACAATAAACATTACCAGCAATGTCCTTACAAAACTTATCGTGCTATAATTTAAATATACTTAGAATTCTTCAATGCTCTACATATTAATTTTATAATATTAATGATCTGCTATAGCAAACAGTGGATCAATCTTCATTTCTGTGGTAAGCATACTTGCGGTTGTTACTTTGCATTCTGTTACAGCCATCTAAGTATACATAAATTTATTAAGTACCTAGTTTATGTAAATAAGGGTTCTCTTATCTCTATACAGGCTGTTGATTTCAATCCTCACCATAAGCTACTTAATCAACTCTCTAAATATGGCGAGGATTGAAATCAACACACTGTATATTAATAAATGTATCTTTATTAAGCACGTAGCCAATCTTCATTTAAGTATGATAACATTCGTTGATTCGTCATGATAATAACAATAAAAATAATTCACATTGACTTAGGATAGCTGCCATATAGCTCCAAAACTTAAACAAAACTTAGTTTGCAGTAATACGGCTAAACTAACAAGCCACATACAAACAAGGGTTCGAATTAGTCGACCTACATTACAAATTGGTCGGTTACTCCCATCGTAGCGGGTTAGGATCGCAAATATGGAGTCATTATGAGAAATGAGATTGGGAAACCCTACACGACCTATTTCGTAAGGCATTTGTGTAGAAACTTAAACGTAATGAATCATTTTCGCCTTTGGAAACTGTTTATACTTATTTATAACTCTCAGATCATAACTGGTTTCAATATAACACTTTATTTGGTTTCTCAAACTAGTTTTTAAAGTGATAGTCCAATTTTTTGGGTTTCCCCGACCTTGTCTTCTAATTTCGGATTATACTGCCTCTTTATCACTAAAACATACAGAAAACCTAAATTACAGCTTCGTTTTGCAAAATGTAAACATCTGAAAACAGAATGTAAACATGAAAGGTCTTGTTGCTTAATGTGACCTTTAAATCCCTAATAGAACGTAAAACTGGCCAAATATTTGTATTTACAGGTGATTTATCTTTGGCAATACTGATAAAGATTTGTTCATAATGGTTGTGTATTTGTGGGCATCCTTGCGATGTTACAGTCTCGATGAAAAAGTAATGTAAACGGTTTCAAAATTCAACCTTTAACGCGAAGACTATTGATAATAACTGAGTTAAATAAATTACCTGCTGCAGGCATCTTACGATAACATTTATATTTCAAGAACAACTTTCGATAGTGAAGAAACAAGACTATGAATCTTGAAAAAGAAATCTCCGACATTTAAATAAAAAACTGCGATCAATTTATCATTCCGTATCATCTCAATTATTAATCCAAGGCGTTTGGCACGGTACTTTTCCGAAGATTTGTAGTCTTATTAAATTTTAAAAGGTTAGTGATGACACTTTTTATTAATTTCATGATGAAGCTTCCTGGCAACGATGAGAGATAACAGCAATGCTTTATTTTAACGCATTCTAAAGACTGAGTTCATACAGTACTAAATAAGAAAATGGGTCACGTATTTTCTTAGAACTTCGTGTGAATTCAAATTGAGAAACTCTTTTTTCTTCAAAAAGATTTTTTTGTCAATTCATTTGTTTTTCAAACCAGTACTTCACTCTGTGTCCAGTATAGTCACTGCTTATAGAGATTATAAATTCAAAGGCGTGCGAATGTAACAAAAATGCACCAAAACACAACATTGTGGGCAGATCTCATGGTATAATTGGCCTCGACACAGTTTCGAAAACTGCCGGTTTGTTGTTGTACAAAATGGAAGGTTTTTGACCATTATTGCCTCCTTCTTTGTGGGGACTTTGCAAAATTAGGCTTAGAAAACAAATTAGCGACGTAAATGGTTGCTGGGGACGGTTATTGTTATAAAACTTTCAAGAAACATACGGTAACAACAATTTAATGTTAGGAAGTTTGGACAGCAAAACTTTCTTTTTTAACAGTAAAATATTATGGCCACTAAAAACTGTAATTAATTGTATTGTTTCAAACTATGTTTACATGTGAAAACATATTACAATGCCAGCCAAGGAAAGCGCTCCTTGACAATAAAAAAATACATTACATTCATAAATGCACGTCGATTGCAAAAACAATTCCGCCTGCAGATGAAAAAATGCATGTAAATAACGAATATGTGCAGTTTTAACTAACTATTTGATTTTCAAATGGCAATCTATGATGCACCAAGGTCGGGCGCAATGTCACCTTATGCACAAGGGTACTGTATCACTTATACATGTACGTGTAGAACATTCTGGATGATCTATATAAGAGGGATGGCCATGACATACTGTTGCTATGGAGATCATGGAGACCCGGCCAAGAAGTATCGATCGAGAAAAAAATAATTTGGCTTTTAAATGTATTTTTTGTGGCCGGTATTAAAAATAATCGAAAAGCTTAAGCCGTTTCATTGGAATTGGTAATCATCTTGAATTATGCAAAAGATTCTATGAAATTTTGATGAAGCTGTTTCAATCCATTCAATAAATATAATGTGACGTTTAATTCGGCCTGTATTATACCCATTCACCAAAATTAAGATCATTTAGAATTCCTGAAATTCCTATTTTATGTTTACGATAACAATATAAAATCTCAGAGGTAATGTTTATTTATCCAGTTTTTATGTAGGTACAGCCTTCCCTTGGCAGTGATATATAAAGTGTGTAAAAATGTATGTTTACAGTTGGACAATCAAATCGATTATAAAATTTCGTGAATGAAATTATAATGTAAATATCGACCACTCTCACAAATAATTTTGCACAAATTATCTTAATGACGCCAACGGAAGTGTCAAATTTTAATTCACCCCAAGGCCAAGAATGTTGTCAATGCAAATTCGTTGACAAGTTTACGGATTAAGGAAGTTTTAAAGTCGAAATTGGCGATGAGTTGAACACATTTCTATATGGATCTTTTGCTCTAATGGTTCACCCTAGTTCCCCGTTGTCTACTGATTGTCAAGATAGTTTTTCGCGGGAACTTGTTGAAGTGCCAAGTTGAAATTCATGTCATACTAAGTAGGTAATTTGACGCTATAAAAAAACAAGGATATTAAGAAAAATAATAATTTATTAATATTAAAACCAATTGCTCTACCAAAGCTATTAAATATTGATTGTGCTGAATAACAATACAACAGACATTGGTATAATATTATCGCCTCCATCTTACGACTGTACGGTTATTGCTATATTATACGGTTGTTACTAAACTATGAGTTCAAAACAAATACGCACGCAACGGCTAGGTGGGGTTCCGGGGTGTTCACCCCAAAGATTGTTATCTTTCATTCACAACCATTGGCGAATGAATCGGGAACATTCGAACTAGAACGTGTTTGACACTACCAGGGCGGTAAACCACGAGTGTGTTTGTAAACAACTTTCCAAAACACGTCAACCGTCGCTTTCCATCATATACAAAATTAATACCCGTTAAATCGAATCAAACGGACCATTCAACACATGTGTCAACTCACGAAATTACGGTGTTTGCAAGGAGTAACCTTGCGAAACTACGCACTACTTACTACCTAACACACCTGAGGACGAGTCAACAGACTTGCCCCGTAAACACGCGTATCCGATGACTAACGATATGTCTCTGTTGTTGCAGGTTCGTCATTAATCTACTGGCGACGAATTTGCTGACGACCTCCCTGCTCGCGCCCGCTCTGTTCGGCGAGCACTCAGCCAGGGAGGACGTGGCCTCGTGGGTGGAAGCCGGCGACGCGGCCGCTTCGGGCTGCAGTCTGGCCGCTCTGCTCGCCGTCATGCTGATAGCGTTGGACCAGCACCACGCCGTCACCGACCCTCTCCGCTGCCACACGCGCCTCTTACAACGTCGGCCCGCTGCTCTCTGCGCCGCTACCTGGCTCGCCGCCGGCACCGCCGCGGCCGTCCGCGCCGCCATCGCCGTCGTCCGCCACTTCTACCCGCTCGAGCCCGTCGTTCAGGGAGTCGAGCTGGCCTACTACATCGTGTACTTAATCCTCGGAGTCCTGACTCCAGCAGCCATCGTCTGCTTTATGTACGCCCGGATCTACCGCGCGGCCCGCTCCTCCGGCCTTCGCGCCCGAGCGCATGGGGCCAGCGCCCTCCAGCTGCATGAACCTCCGATGAACCTGCCTGAGCTAGTCGAGGAAGCCGAGGGACTCACCCTCAGGATTGATGTGCCCGACGCACCTGATTCTAACGCGCCGGGAGACAACGACCGCAAGTTTGGCCCTTTCCTTCTACCGCCCGAGCGTCCGCTCCGTTGCCCCTCTGTCGCCAGTCTACGGAACACGCGAAAAGATGGAAAATCGAATGAGGACCTCAGGAAGGGCCTGCCAGCTGTTAGCTCGGCGCCGTCGCTGGCCGCTCCTCTTCTAGCCGTGCAGCCGCGCCCGCCAGCTTCAAACAGTGCCTCAAGGATTACATCGATTCGCTGCCGCATTTCAAACGCTTCATTGTTTAGATATAGAGAAGAATCTCGGGCAGCTCGTGTTGGACTATTGACGGGTGCGCTAGTGATGTTGCATATCCCGCACGCGGCTACCGCAGTGGTGTCAGCCGCCGTGCCAGGGCTGGCTGATTGCGTGAGAACGCCCGCACTGGCCTTGTTGCTGTTGGCAGCCGCCGCGTCTCCATTTCTGTTCGCGCTGCGCTCGCGGCGCGTGCAGAGAGAGGCGCGGAGACTGTTGTTGCCGGAGAAGAACGCTTGGGAGCGAGCGTCGGGCGCGGCGTCGGCGGCGGCGGCGGACGGCCAGCGCGCGCGTGCCGCCTTGGAGCTCCTCCGAACCCTGTCTCCTGGGAGCGGGGCGGAGCCGCCGGCGCCGGGAAACGGCTCCGAGGGGGCCGCTTGCAGGGGCTCGTTCAGCTCCGGAGGCAGCACCCAGCTGTCCTCAGCATCGGACGAGTGACCGCCGCCCCCTCCCCGCGTGCCCCCCCACGCCCTGCGGGTGCATTTCGCCCCGCGCCCCACCGCTCTACTCATCTGTGATACTAGGATAAGCAGCTCCGCACTGGGAGCGACCGTTAGACTGATTTAGTATTAAGTTAATTTATTAATGTGTCCATGTACCTTTCTGCTGAGCAGACGATTTTATTACCTGACATAAATGTATGAAAATTAAACTCGTATCGAAGTGTATTATTGTCGTTTGTATTTTCTATTGACCTACTGACATGAATATCTTAGTTATAAAAATCACACACTCAACCAGAAATTGTGAAGGTTAGCAAAATAGAGCAAGTTTTTATTGATTGAGTCACATTACAGCAATACTCATTTTGAAATTAATTAATTTGTGCTAGCAAATGCAATAAATAATAATAACTCAAGGACAAGGAAATTAAAAAAGTAGCAGTTGATTTAAAAGATACACAACAAGGGAAACAGAATTATAGGTACATATTTCTATTGATGCTACTTCACATTCACACAAACACCAAACACGCAAAACCTGTTATTTATGGAAACAGTTTACTCCAAAGTTTTTGACGTCACACAGATCAGTTCAGATAACAATTATACTATAAACAAACTTATTATGTTTCCGATTAAGTATATTAAAAGTAAATACTTACATAAGAGGCTACTACTACTACGTCATGTAAGATTTTGGATCTAACTGTCATTCAGAATACTGCAAGTGGGAGATAAGAGAGGGACACAAAAAAATATTTGAGCAAGGGCTCTCACGAAACGGTAGAAAAATGTAATATTTGATGGAAAAGTGAATACTAGTATCTTAAAAACTTAATGCCTCTCAATAAGCTCACTTTTCCAATGTCAATCGAAGAAAATATTCAGTAGATTAGCAGTGGCACTGAAACTACACTTCAGTGTACATACCATGAGTTTACGTTAGGTGTGCTCGCTAGCGAGTACGTCAAAGATCTCTATGAAGATTTTGTTTCTTGAAAGTAGCCGCTAGGGGCGCTGCACAATATGTCATACAATTAAATGTCATTTTTTTACGCAGTCGCTAGCGAGCACACCTAACGTAAACTCATGGTAAGCACACAGGAGTGGAGAGATACTTGAAACGCAAACTTCACTCTGGACTTTGAAGATGACAATATGGAGATTTGGAAACCGCAGCGAAATGGATTTAAGTTTAATATGGATTGAGAATAAGTATATAGATCAACTATCACAATATCCATAAAATAAGTCTGGCACAAAATTTGTGTCTTATTTAATAAGAGAAACATACCTACTTACAAAATTTAGGAAATAATCTCTGAAACTACTGAAATGATTTTGAAAGTTCTTTCGCCAAGAAAGCTACATTATTCTTGAGTAACCAGGTTATCTTTTTGTGACTGTCCTAAACTCACGCGGGTAGATCCGCGGGCAAGAGCTTGTTTTCTATAAATTCTCTTATTTAGGCAAAAAATAGCTTTTTGAATGTAAAGTGAAGTAGGTACTCGTAGAGAAGTAGGAGTCTACTAAAATCATTATAAAGAAAAGAAAGAAACATCTTTTCCTTCAAGAACGTTTAACTTAGTGGTTACGGTACTAATCTACGCCACCAACAATGCATTGCGGTTGCGGGTTCGAATCCCGCTATAATAAATGGGAAAGTAGCTTCGTCTGTCTGTTACACACTTACACAACTTCTAGTACCTATAATAAAACACAAAATTCTAACCTTTATAGACCAACCAGCTCTCAAATTATCTGTTATAAGAGTTTTATTAGCCTGAAAAATAATAAAAGTTATTAAATTGAGTTATTTTGTCATAAAAGCCTATGAAAGTTTCATTTTGACTTTTTGACAGCTCATAAAAAGTAAGTTTTATTAAAGGTGTTAAACTTGACCTTCATTGGTTGGATTTTATTGTAGGTCAGGCTGGCTGGCATCACAGAAATTGCAGCATAGGGAACTAGTGGTGAAAATCGTCACGTTTTAGTGCTTTATGTTCTCTATCCTATTGTGACATAGTAAATACAACAGATCAAAACCAGTCGCAGTGATACTAGTCATAGTATTCTATCCTTCTAATATTATAAATGCGATTATCTAATAAAGAAGAATAGTCATATAAAAAAATAGTCTGAATTACGGATTTATAAAATAATCGTGGCAATCTCAATATACGAGTACTTCCTAGCAATCAAAGGTTTACACACCACCCTAACAAATATGGCGACACTTCCGGAAACGTTTGTAATGTCAGTGAGCATGACAGAATTTTCGTAATCTGTGATAATGAAGGAACTCGTGGGCAGATTGCATTAATACATTGAGAGGATAATTACGATTGCAAAGAGGCTTTGTTAGGCTCATTCATTATACTTACCTGCTTATCAAGACGGTTCCTGAATACTTAATTCTTGCTTTTCGCACCGTCGTCACCACTACCGGGGGACAGGATGTGTGTGGGACTCCCGGCACCCTGAAAAAGACGCTGCTCAATCCTGAAAAATTGAGCTTGTTCCAACAGCTGCAACTCCTGTAACCTGGATATAACTTCGCCAAAGAAAAGTAAGTAAATGAAAATAAATTATATTAATATCCTTAAACATTTGGATCCAACATAATAAGCAAAACAGCAGCTAGCAGATGTAAGCATCTGTGCACAGTTATGAAAGATCATATTAGACTACGATGGCGTCGATCGAAGAGTATTGTATACTTCGAAAAAAGTAGGTACGAAATAGTTTTTGTATTGTAACATTCTTACCATAGGTACTAAAACATACATTTAATTGTGTACCTATGAAGATATTAGTCAATATTATGAAATAGGTACATTGTGACGAAACATCCCAAATATTTACAAAAAGCTGTCAAGGTCAAGCAATTACAATTTAAAATGTCATGCTTACCGCGAAACATAGTAAATTAGTGATAAAACAAAAAAGTAGTTAGTTCCAGTTTTGATGATAGGTACTACAATTATTTAATTTACATGAGATTAGATCTAATTTTAATCCGACTACGTTAGATGGGGTTTTGTTTTTCTAGAGTTACAGTTAAAAAGAGTTTTGTTTTAACCAAAAAAACTAAGGATAATAAGTATGTTTGAACCGAACAATTGAATTAATTATTTTCTTCATTAAAGTTATCATTTCTTGTTTTTTGTAAGTGTCATAGCTTGCAAATTTTAATATAACTAGGAAATAGGTTTACATCTGTAATCATATCAAATCATGTTATACTATACACTGTACAATCTTCTTACTTGATTAGAAGATGAGGACGCAAACTGTTACTTGCCTGAAAGATGACGATAGTTTTATTCTGCTTGATTACTTTATAATTATGGCCTAGTCCCTTTATTTGAAATAAGTGAAAGATTTATTAATTTAACTCATAATTTATAACAAAGGCACTTGTTTATAGAACGTTTCATCCAGGAAGACGCGCCCACCAAATTATGGAGTTTGATCCGAGCAATCCGAGTGTCATTATTGTAGTGTACGTGTGCATGTGCACTTGTGCAGTCATCGATAATTTAGCGTGTACCGATAGCACTAAAACATTAGCGGAAGAATGGTGGTCTTCTTGGATGACACGATCTATACTCGTTACAACGGAGACTCATTAATCCTATTGATCCATGTAAGACGTACAGACAAAACCACACTGTGTCATCTTAAGACGGGATCATAGGTAGTATTTTGGACAGAAATGTAGAGTCTGATGTGCTGTAATAGCGGTTAATAAAGAGTATACCTTCAGGGCAGGTGACTTTAATTTATCTACTCCTTTGTTTTCTTTTATAGATTTCTAGTAATTTGTGACATTAGTACCTTTAAAATATTTATCATTATACACTTAAGCTCGGTTCTTGAATTGAGATTTTTGGCTGTTCGGTGATCAATATGAGATGATGATACAGTTTGAGCGTATTATCTTCTCCTGTAGGTTGAATTTAATATGAAAAGTTCAAATCAAATCATTTATTTGTAAAAACATAGGTAAATGTGGAATTCAGGTGGTACATATAATGGGTAGAGCTCTATGTTTGGCCTATGAGTGGCATACAAATTATATTAGTCCCATATAAAGATACAAACAAAAATTAATAGTTACATAATAATAATTCAATGTCAATTTTAAGAGTTTAAAATTAATGCTTACAAAACTATCATGTCAAAATTATATTACAAAGTATCAGTTAAATATTCAGTTAATGTATAGTATGATTTTCTTATTAAAAGGGTCAATATTTCTTTGCGAAAAGTGTTCAAGCTGGCGTCTCTTAACTTTTTTGGCAATTTATTATAAACTTTAGGAGCCATACAGTAAAAGCTTTTCCTTTTTAACGCGGTTTGACAAGTTGGTGCGCTTAAAGTGTGCATAAGACGTCTACTGGATAGTAATTTTTTTTTATTCATACTTAATAATGAGCACTCTCACGCCAAAAATCTCGATTCAGAAGCCAGGCCGTATTCCTTTATCCATGTTACTTTCCTAAAAGATGACAAAAGCTTTTATTATGCCTCATTAGTTTCTAAATGTTCCTATAATAGTCAGTCCCTTTTGATCTAAAATTAGTATTTTTAACTCTTACTTTATAACAATGGCACCTACCGATAGTTTGCTGATTCAAGCGGACACCCAGCCCTCCTAGCAACACCATTTGCATGGAGACTAGATGAGCAATAATTGACAATCACGTCCAATCGACCGGTCACGATTACGTTGTGCAATCGCCTCGGTGATAACAGGGAGCTTTAATATTTATTAAACATGGCTTGGCTGTATAAAACCATGTTCATTTATTACTATGAAGTCTCACAGGATGACACACGAACCAATCACAGAACTCTATTCATCGCGGTGCGTTCGATTTGCTGCTTCACTTAAGCAAGCACCGTTTGTGAATACGGGCGACAATCTAGGGCCAGTAATTATTCTCAAAAAATCATAAAACTCATTTAGTTTTTGCAAGTAGGCTTTTAAAAATCGTTTTCACACGCCCAAATAAGCTTCAGCTTTCAGAAAGCTGCAACATCAGCGTACACATATACTGCCATTATATATTTATATGCATACTAGCTTTCCGCCCGCGGCTTCGCCCGCGTGGAATTTTGTCTGTCACAGAAAAACTTTATCGCGCGCGTCCCTGTTTCAAAAACCGGGATAAAAACTATCCTATGTTCTTTCCCGGGACTCAAACTATCTCTATGCC